TTGTAGTTGGATTTTTTGAGAGTGTAAAACAGTTTTTTTGGTAGGTAGTGTCCTGTGCTTCCTTTTTTTTCTGTGAGAACCTGACTGTATTAAAAGCAAACTTGTTTTTCCAAGTTGCGTGGTTGGTTAAACTGCAATTCACAGCGCACACTTGTTCCCACATTTCAAGGTCTCCATTATCCCTTCCACATCACTGCACTGGGGATGATAAAACGTATGTAGAATTCTACATACTTGTTTTACCCAGGTTTACCTCTCTTCTCCCCAGTGAACATTTCCGCTCTGTCCCCTTATAGCACAATAGTTGTGAGTGTGATTGTAGCTGTAGTACCCAGTTGCTTATACACTTGTTTTTTTACAGTAGAATTCTGGAACTACAACATACCAGCTTATCATAAATATGTATCATTTTGTGTTTTTATTAACAATGAAATGTTATTTGGTCATCCTGGACATGAAAAATAGCAACTTATTCCTGATGATAAAGTAGCCAGTAAGGGTGGCATCCAGTTGTGCCAGCCAAACTCTGCTCGTGCAACAGAAATTTTAGCAATTCCCTCCCCATTACAGCCCACCAGGCCTCTCTCAAAAACCCCTTTGAAGCACTGAGGGACCTCCCATTGTACCCATTTTGAGGGTACATGGAGGCCTGCAGGAAGGAACGGGTCTCCTTCCTATTGTGCTCACAATTGGATTTTACTGCATACTTATTCCTTCTACATAGGAATCTGATTATCAAGAAAACATGCATTTATTGCGGATTATGTAGAATACAGAATGTAGAAAATAATACACAGTGCTTATAAATAGATTGCCAACTTCTGTGCTGAGAATGATAAATGTTCCTTAATCTCTGAACATAAAAGGTGGATAGATGCAAAGCACCAAGCTATTTCTAAAACTACAGCTATAGGACTTTGACACTCTCTCAAATTTTAGTATTAAAAAAGAAGTGTAAAAAATAGCATCGGCAGATGGATGAAACATTCATGTGTGCTCAGATTTGTATATAAGGGAATGGGGGATATCATGGATAATGTGTATTGCTGATGCTAAAGCCACCAATCTCTCCTAAGGCCAGGCCAGTAAGAACAAAGCACCATGGAACATTCGCATATTTAGATTGACACTTCCAATTCATATTTTTCTGCCCACATTAACCCCATTCACAGGAGAAAAAGAGATTAAAATATAGGCTTATGATTAAACAGTGTTATACAGATTCTCTACAAAATTGAAATGAATGGTGGAAAATAGCCCAAATACCTGACTAGCATCTGGTTCAGCCACTTCATTACATGGTTCAAGTTTACATTATTTCCATGTCACGCATAATAAGTAGCATAGCTCCATAGGGATTCAGACATGACTATCCTACTACAACCTTTTATAGAACATTTGGTATGAATTTGAGTTCACAGAAAAAATACATGAAGAGCACACAGATATGATAGGAATAATGAAATCCTGTGAGACACATTTCTTCTAATTTATTGCTGTTGATCCTAAATTACCATTGAAACGTTCTATAAAGTTTACAATGTGAGGCTGAATAATTTTGATTAGTGGCACTAGTATTTGGGATTTTCTCCAGTATCAGCTACCAAAAAAGTTAATTGCCATTCTACAGATTTGGCTGTGAGGGGAAAAAGCAGAGTTTCTACTTTCCTTTTTAAAAAGGAAGCTGTTTCTCACATTGCACAGCAAAAATGAATTTCTGTACAGTACCTGGGTGGAGCACAGCTGAATTCAACAACCCAGTGGATTTACATCTGTGTTATTTATGCTGAGTCAATAGTGAATTGGCTTATATTGAATGGAGTTTATTTATAAAAAGTGTATTTAGGATTGTTACTCTTTGTAAAGTTTAACTGAAAAAGATACATCTTCCATCATAAAATATACACAGTATTTGAAGTTCTATCTTACCAATTTTCAAAAACTGAGCAAGAATGAATAATGATCAATCATTTGTAACTTTATCCGTCTAGACTATAATGTATAAAAAAAGAACTAAAGTATTAACATTAGTATTAAATGCATGCTGTTATTAAATATTAATACTAAGACTACCTGGAAGAAAACATGCAACATAAAATATAAAGCGTTCTAAATATTAATAACGATAACAATGAAAAAATACTACTTCTACGCAGAAGCAAGCTAAGCTGTAAACTATAGTAAATAACAAAAGCTTAACATTACTAGCCCAGAACTGGATATTTTAACTCTAAAAATTGTCTCTACAAATCAAAATTAATACTAATAACCATGATGCAATGAAGATTTATACCAATGAAACATTAAAGCTTAGATCACCTAGACAATGATGTAATATGAGTATGGTTTCCCTCTCATCAACCCTTGCTGGCAGTCAGATCCTGGGGGTTATACATGCTGCAGTGCAAAATATAGCAACTGTATATGTTATTGTGAGATTACAGTCTGGTTCTAATGAACAGAGGCTTGAGTTGTATGATCTAGAACATTTTCAAAAAGTTGGGGAGATAAAAGCACTTCATATTTCCTCCTGAATTAACACTGAAAGCCATGTTCAGAAAACTCAACTTTTCCAGACTTGCAGGAGCATCAATGTTCCAGATACATAATATTTTATTTTCCCCTAAAACAGTTGAAGGGAAGGTATCACACCATGCAAGAGTTGGGGTTTCTAGTTTGAGAAACCCTTCTAGGTTTAGATACTTCTAATTGCATAAGATGTGCCACAAGTGCTACTGTACATTTACAGTTGTCAATGATAGGTAGATTTCAATACAAGAGGGTTGAACTGTGGAGTCCTTGGTGCTCTCTGAGCTTGGTTGTTTACTTGCAGATATTTCATTACCCGACTAGGTAATATCGTAAACATCATTAATAAACATTCATTACCTGGTCCAGTAATGAAACATCTGAAAGCAATCAACGAAGCTCAGACAGCACCAAGGACTCCATAGGTAGATTTGAAAGCCTATTTAGATCAACCTGGTGCTCTATGTCCATATCTGTTGTTTCAACACAGAGTTGGCCTGATCAAATCCCAGGGACTATAGATAGGAGTAAGAGACCCCTAGGGAACCTGACTTCATCATCAGGGATTACTTCCAAACAGACTGGAATCCATCCAGAGACAGAGGCCCAGAAGGGAAAAAGATAGTTTTAGCTAGTTGTTTAGTATAGTTATCTATGGTCCAGCCTCCACTTTCACTAAACACCAGCAACTGTAACACAGTGAGACACCTGGATTGCTGATCTTGAAACTTTAGTTTGAATTCACTCAGCAGGCCAGACCCAGCTGTGCACTGCAGACTATCTCTGCCAGTGTTTTTACTGTAAATAATATATAGCTCCCTTCTGTTCACAACACTTTAATGGCAGATGTACTCCTTGAGCATTTTGGGCAATATAGGAATATGAAAAACCACTCCCAAATACTTAAAGGATTATAACTGACTTAATTGCTTGTTTCTGTGCTAGGCATGACTCTTAGATCTCCTAGCAAAACTCAGGATTTTGGTCTTTTGATAGATAATTTGCAGTTTATCTTCTTGGAGAACTATGTAAGAGTCTTCATTGCTCTTCTGAGACCTATATTAGTCCTAATAATGTAACCATGTCATCTGTATATAACAGATTTCTCACTCAACTTAGACAGATGAAAGTCCAAATTTGCTAGGAATCTACCAAGTCATTTATGTAGAAGTTAAACAATAACGGGGCTAATATACATCCCTGTTTAACTCTCTTTGTTGGTACAGTGGATGTTAAATTACTTTGGGGAGATAGTGAGGCTTACAGCATGACATTGCTTTTGTTGTCCCGCCCTCCTCTTGACCTTGCCTACTGATGCAAGTGCCTGGGGGTTACATCTGACTTTCAGCTTTGTACCCTCAGCAAGATTATGAATTAGACGTAGCAGATACTGAACAGTTGAGGAGGCTTCCAGCTTCTCCCACAATTTATCTTAAAATGCTGACTTAAAATCAATATTTCTACACACACTTACTATAGTGACTGTCATCAGTTTTGTTTTGGAGAGAAACCACCTGAATGATTTCAATGATGCTTGTGAGAGAGTAAGGATGATTAAACTATATTTCCTGCACACATACTTCATCCAAATCATTTTACCCTTATTCCAAATAAGCTAGTTTTATGTAAGCTACAATTATTACAATGTATTTAAGAATAATTTGAACATTTTAAAAAATATGAAAATTGCTCATAATGATGGGGAAGTTGAAGCATCAATGTTCCACCTGAGAATGTTTAACTATATTTTTTAAAAAGTATATTTTGATTTCTGAGTAAAACCTTTTTTATACTAAAACTCTGATCCTACAAGCAGTTCCGGCTTAATTGTCAGGCAGTACTTGTTGTTGGACTCTACTTACACAGTTCATTACAGTTCACTACCACTGTAGTGGAAAAAATATATATTGGATGGAATTGCCTGAAAATACAAGGTTTGGCTGAAATACATCCTTAGCCTGAGCCCAGAGGTAGATTAATGGAAAAGAGGGCAAAACAGTAATTGTCTATAATATCTATGCAGTTCTGAAGGCAACAATTTCTTTTTTTGATTTCTTCCTACGAGTTTAGTTGATAGCTTAAGGAGTCAATTGTCTTTTTTAATATGCTTATTATTTTATTTGCTAAAGCACAAAGAAAAAAAAGGCAAACATTATAAATGGATGAAGCGAAAACTGAAAGTGTGACAACATTAGGAGTCAATTACATGGTCATACTGCATGAACTGGCACTTCCTGATAATTTATTCTCTCATACACGCAGAGAGAGAGACAGACATGCACACACAAAGAAAAACTATCGTTGCAGGAAAATTTGGGCACTTTCTTCAAGAATTGTACAGTCTATATTTTCGAAAAATGAATTATTGTGTGAGTGTACTCACTATTATTTCTTTTGTCTCTTACAACGATTTGCATTTCTCAAATAAGCAACCACCATTCATTCACAATCACCACAGAAATACACAGTCATCACGAAATTCCTGATGTTCCAGGAATCCTGCATCACCTAATTTATTTCAAATACAAAATAATTACACAAATTTATACTTTCAAGGTTTATACAAAATGGTCTGTATTATTTATACATATTTTCAGGTTTAAACTGGGAATTTAATTGGCTTTGATAAAACCATGAGTAACAGTAAAACAGATTTGTTATTGTATGCTAATACTGTATTAACATTAAAATAAATCATTATTGATATTAGAGGGGATTTTATGAACTAAAAGTTAAAGAATGCATATGATTTCAGGGAAACAAATACTGTATCAGAAAATGCATTCCAGCAAAATTCTTCTATTCTTTCCTTGGGTCCAAGCACTGCATTCTTTTAATGGGCTGTACAATAAAACTTTATGCTTTTTTCCAAAGTTATCCTATTTCTGGACCCATTTGTAGATCACACAGCATGGTTCACTGAGTATACTCTAAAAATAAAGTTGGGTTTATTTGAATACCAGGATTCTTTTCCCAACACTGTTAAAATAAAGACAAAACTACAGAGACAAAATCCAGTATAATTAGTTTTCGACAATAAAATTTCCCCAAACACTGTTGCAAAATTCCTTCTAGTGAAATGATTTGCTACAATAATAAAAAGCATACATTACATATAAAAAGATACCAGTGTACTAAAAGTGACAGAAGTGAACTAGCAAATCCTTCAAAGCACATATTATATAAATGACTAGCATTTAAAAACATTTCCTCCTATAAAATGTAGGTCATTTACATTTATAAATCTGTGATCTTTCTCCACTGAAACAATGAGAGTTTTCAAATAATTCTGTTGCTCTGTACAGCTTGAAACCACAGTTCAAACTCAGTTTTAGTTTGACTTTTTGATTTCTTTTCCTTGAATTAAATAAAGCTCATCTCATCAACTGATAATTCCTATAGCAAAAAGTAATTTTATAAAAATAAACCATGACTCAATGCTCAACTGCAGTGTACAATATGAACAGAACTATTTTTTTTTGTATTGCACAAATCTGATTTATATAGATGCATATTCATATTTTCAAGCGGCACAGAAATGGTGTGGGAGAAAAGTCTTTTCTTCCTTCCAGGACACTAACATTTGTAGTCTTCATCATCTTACAGAAGTGCAACTGAGCCATTAGTTTCATAATGAATGTGTGTGCAGGTGTAATACAGATCTAAAGTCTGTTCTTCCTGCAACTCCGATTGTGCTGTGTAAACAACATTATGCTTCAAACAGAAAAATGTTGGATTTATTGATTAAAAACATTAACTTAAACAAAGCTATTGAATCCCCCAAACAGTTTTTGGAACTATCCTTATGCTACTTGTACAGTTAGCATGGTTAGGCATTATTGCTTACATACAGTACATCATATGCCTCCTGATATAAAGCAGTACTATGATCTTTTATATACAAGGTTCTTTTTTTTCCTTTTTAGTTTAAAAACAAGCTGTAAAAACATTACATACTTTACAGACAATACAAATTCCCACATTGGTACTCAAGTCTAACAAATGGAATGCATAACATTAATAAAACATCATAAAGGAAGACTGACAGTAAGTCCTTGATTGTCAAGACACATTTATATTTTATATATAAACTCTTAACTGTGCTGAATCAAAAGATTCAATCATAGGTACATCCTTATTTAATAACTCATATTTACAGAACAATATTGCATAAAAAAATAAAATAAACATTTACACATTTTTACTTTTCCATCTACTGGGGTAAAGAATGCAAGAAACAACTCTGAGAAAATTGCTTGCTTCTATTTGTGTGTACTACCAAAAGATCTCTCTCTCTCTCTCTCTCTCTTTTAATTATTATTGAAAAGAGAAACAATGATTTTATATATGTATAGCAAAAGCAATTAGAAAATTTCCCTGAAACAAATCAATTGAAAAATAATGGAAGTTAAATTTAACATAATGTTGTTTTTCATTCATTGTAATACTTCCTCAGAACATCCTCTTTGCACGCAAAAAGAGTAGTTAAAAGTCTTGCATACCTAAAAAACATGCATTAACAGAAAATAAAAGCATTTCAAAAAGTTGCAAGGCTTCTGTTGAGCAGAATTTATGAAAATATAAACATAGTTTTTATTAATAATTTTATCAATTGGAAAAATTACATATGAGGTTTTACCAAATGAAATACCCAGATCACAAACACATTTCTGTTTTCTAAATTTCTGAACTATATTCTAATATCTATCTCCCTGCAACTTGAGTAAGAATTTAATTTCTACCCGACAAAATTTTAGGTTGCAAATTTACAAATACAAAGCAAGTTAATACTGAAATATTCAAGCAGGCTGATCTTGGATCCACTCTGGATCTTCTTCAAATATTCATGAAACATATTACACACATCATTAAAAATAATCTGAGGAAACATGGAATATATGTTGTATGTATCCAAGTGGAGCTTTTTCTGAAGATAACCCCAAAACTATGGAAATGAAATCCAAAAGCTATAATTAAAACTTGTTAATTCACACTATTGATTTGAACCCCCCTTGAAAATCACAAAATAAATAAGGAAAAAAAAAAAGCAAGCATATGACATTATAATGTATTTCATTCATTTTGACCACAGTCTCTTAGTTTGCAGCACTTACACAAATATTCTGCAATACGCTTGGCTAAAGTTACAGTCATAGTTTTATCTCTACTACATGACTTTACACCACTCAAGAGAAACAAGGAAAAACCAGCTTGGGAATTATCAGGTGTTCAACAGAAATCACAAAAACATTTCAGGTTTCAACAAACTGCTTGCTCTCTCAAAATATCGTGGCAACCTGCTTTACCTTGGAATCTATATTAAAAGTTTTAGACCAATTTCAGAAAAAGCAAGAAAGGTGATCCAACATAAATGAAAAACAAATCATTCTAACTGTTCTTCAAACCTGTAGTGCACTGCAGTTAATCATGCTGTTTCTCTTTAAATAAATCATACTTGATAAATCATATAGCCTGAATAATTAAGACCAAGAGAGGATAAGGTGGCTATTTCAGCTATAAACCAAAAGCCAATTCCTTCATTTACATTTTTTTAAGAAAGACTCTGACCCAGCATCTACCCAAATATTATCTACTGAAGACTGAGACAATGAGATCTTAAAAAAGTAAGCATTTGCATTTAAAGGTGACACCAAAAAAATAGTCAACTGAACTGTAAATATACTATCGAGTTGAAAAGGATTTTAGGACCATAACTAAGATGTCCTAAATAAAATATAATAAAGTATTATTCCAGCAAAATACAGTTTAGTACTGTCTCACAATATGTACTGTGTGCATGAAATAGACCTATAAAATTACTTAATCCTAGTTAATTTAGAAAGCTGCTTTTAGATAAAAAGCAATTTTGGATCTTGCATGATTTTTGTGGACAGGATCACAAAACCCAAAGAGAATGCTTCTACTCATACTTGAGATATTGCATGCATACTCCATCTATGCCACTTTGGGCTTAAAGAGCCTCTGCTAAAGCACCCCCCCTCCAATTTAGGAATGCTACAGATTTAGGGATGCTATGGAGTAACTTCCCTCAGTGCATCTCAAGAAGCCATCAGAAAGTTAATCAAGCACTCTGGTGTTTCTAGCCATGCAGATAGAGCACTTTGGATGTCTGCTAGAGTTCATTCCGCCTCCCTTTATTCATTTTTTTCATAATGGGTATGTTCATAAGAAGTAAACACCTTTATTTTCTCCACAGTTACAGACCCTGGCTCCACACACCTTGGGTTCCTCTTGGCTATCCACAAATGGATTCAAACTTTCCTAGCTTTTCATTCCAGCTACTGAATGTGTCTACATTGTTTTACTTGGTAATCTTGCTTACCTCTCTGGAACATAATCTATTGTTAACTAAATAAATAGGGGAATTCTGAGACATTGTGTTGGAAATGCTTAGTTAAAATTAACACATTTTATCGGGGCAGAAATAAAACTAGAAAATGGAAAAATAAAAGATTAATTCTTTGGAGATTTTTATGTTATAACTGTATCATTAACAGACCTTTTTTTACTGAATATGTAAATTATTAGGCATTGTATAGAGAAAAATAGAATGCAAATAGCCTATTTGTGATTGATAAGAATGCATAATGAATGTTGAGACTATGAATCTATGAAGATTCACAAGTAGATTTAATGAGATTATCTTGCCATCCAGAAGTGTTAGGTATATACTATGATGGCCCTGAAATCCTACTGAAGGAATAGAGGAAGAAAACTACCATCAGAATGGGAAGCTATGTTTAATTAAAAGTCACAATTACTCTGGATTTTTTTTAACCACATTTTTTAAGATATCTGGTTCCCTAAGTTCTGTGAGAGGTAATAGCAAGGAATACGATACCTTAAAATAATCTTCCCTATCTGAATTATTCTTATCTTTGGGAAGGAGAAAAAACTTACATTCCTAATACTCAGCCTTTAGGTAATACTACCTAAAGTTTTCCATTAGTGAATACATAGAATAGAATTCATGAAAAGAATAAAATATTTATTCTGTTACTGACTAAAGTAAAAATACTTTTTCAGTTTTAAAAATGGTTAAACCATCCCAACATTTATGTTAAGTAAAACCATGCCATTTAAAAAATTGTATATAGAATTGTTGCAGCACACTATTTAACTGAAGACAATTTACAGTTAAAATGGGAAAGGGATAAAATGCCTTTCATACACTTTATGGTGTATGAAATATAATAAAATAGGGACTGTATAGCTTTCTATCACTAACATCGTTCACCAATTCTGGCTGGCAACACCACGGTGAAATTATTCATTTAGGTAAGATGTGCAGCAAGAATGACTGCTTTAGAGAAAGTTTACTGTATCTAACAAACTGAAGTGCCAAGTTTCTGGGTAAGCAATCTTAATTTTGTGGATGTTAAGGCATCCCCTTCCTTTTCATTGTTAATACAAAATCCTACAATGTAAGGTGAAAATGATGCAGGATAATGAGCCTAAATCTCAAAAATAGCTTTTTTTAAAGAAGAAATATGAGAAAGGATCTAAGTGCTCTAATGTTAATTATTGCAAACTTGTAGGATGAAGTATAGTTAAATTTAAAATTTTGGAGTTTATCATTTATATAAACATTATGAAACTGGGAACATAGACTGCAGAGCATTTTGCTAAAATCTAAACATCTCAATCCCTGTCATCACTGGTAAAAATTAATTAAAATTTAAATGCATGAATAATAGGGATTTTGCTTTTAAATTACTTTTAATTAATCAAACATTTAAATAGGAAAATGTGTCTAGCAAACATCATTATTTTTCTTAAAGTGTATTCAAGGAAACCAATAAAAGGGACATTATGTGTATTACTTTTTTTAACAGAGGTTTTTAAAATAGGCTCCCCCACCCCCAACACACTGTAGCTTCTAGCCACAATCTCCTGACGTTTAAACTTTTGGATTTGTACAGCTTATTCATATTCCCTGATGAAGTGCAATGGCTAGATTAATTAGGAAACGTAATATGAATAATCTCATAATTATCATTCTCTCCCAGATAATCAGAGTTACCAAACTAGGAATTTATTATAGGAGAGATATCTTAACTGGATTATTTTTTTATTTTTTTGTTTTTTTTGTTTTTTTTTTGGTTTGCTTCATTTTGTATTCAATCTCAGCACAGCAAATTCCTGATCTCAAAAAAGGAAACAGCCACCTGCCTTTTCAATGGACACCCACTTATAAGGCAATTCAAAAAGAATGACAATTAATTAAAAAAAGTAATTACTAATATGCTGTACCAGCTTACTTTTTCATTATAACACAAGGCCTTAAATCTGTATAGGATCCATCTTATACAGAAGACACTCATTCTCAACAGACCTGTGGTAAAGTGCCAATGTTATTTCTACAGATTTTCTTAGCCAAATGTTTGGCCTGTTGTTGCATCAGGTGATGAGTTCATCCCTGCCCGAGCATCATTTACATTCACCAAAGGAAATTCTGGGAATTCAGCACTTGTCCCTGGTCCCCGCAGGTTCACTTGTCCATTAGCAGTATTAAACTGAGATGATAATCCAGCTCTTGTTCCATGATACTGAGCCCTGAATGGTTGCTCAAAAGAACCTATCTGATATGCTTGATGGACAGGCTGTGCCTCTGCCTTCTTCTGAGAAGTCACTTGATCCAAGAAGTCCTGGGTAGAGGATGATGAAGAATGATTTGGCTCATCACCTGAAAAGGGAAAAGAGTGCTGGGAATCACCAACAATAAGTCCAAAATGAGACTTGTCTGGAGTTGTTCTTAAGGGAGAGTTCATTCCTGATCGAAAACTGTTAACAGGTATAGATGCATAGACCTGTTTGTCAATAGCAGAGAATGCTGGTTGCCCTGTAAGAGTCTGGTTGTCATTCACAAAATTAAGGCTTGAGTTGTTCAAATAGGCATCATTTTGGCTCGTTCTGTCCAAAGCTTGCTGCAAAAACTTGGAATATTCCTGTAACATACTGGCTTTATCAGAGGATGAGCCTTGAGAACTTGTTGCAACATTCTCAGTTTGTGTAACCTCTGACACTTCAGAAGAATTTATGGATATACTGGAAGTCACTTCAGTATCAGCCACGTTGAAAGCAATTTCATGCTGGCCATTGGCTTTATGGGAATAATGATCTAAAAGAGTTTGAAGTACCTCATCTGGAATGACACTTTTGTCATGGTTTCCTTTAATCTCCACATTCAGTGCTGATGTATCCAATATTGATGCTGTGCTACCTTCATCTATCACACTAGCAACAGCAGCCTGTGTGACTGAAGGCTGCGATGCAATAGTGCCAACATTCAAAGCATATTCTCTGCTGTTACTATTAGCTGCTTGGAGATACCGCCTTTTCTTTAAAAACTGCATCGCATCATCATAGTTTGTGCTGCTGTGTACAGGTTTACTGGGACCTTCCTGTAAAGAATCAACTTGGTCAATGTCAGCATTGGCTTCAGCATCCAGTAAGCCTTGTTTATCCACAAGATCAAAGGCATATTTTGAAACCTTGCTGTCTTCATAAGAAGCTAAGGATGAAATGGTCTGACTTTGCTCTAGTGGCTGCTTTAGATTTCTCTTACTGTTAACTTTTTTGAGCACTAGTTTAGGTGGGTGTATTTCTCCAGAATTTGCTTCTTGTAAATGCCCTCCAGTGACAGAAGAATGTGGCAGCTCAACTGCATATTCTGCCACCATATATTCATCCTTTATCTTAGTATTGCCAGCATACAATGGCAAGAAATCATTCTTATCTTTCTTATGTTCAGATTTATCTGTCCCAGTTTCTTTATCCATCCCAGAAGATTTCAATTTCTCAGTTTTTTGCCTCTTCTTTTTTGGCAAAGAACAGTCTTTCAAAGACATAGGGAAGCCTTGATCTTCATCAGGAGTCAAAAGGCCAACTTTGGTGGCACTTCTATTGGGTTTCTTGTCACGGTTTTCATGGCACATACGTTTGTGTTTCAGTACACGATCAGTCCTTGAGAAGAACTACAGGGGACATTTTTGGATTAGAGAAAAAAAAAAGCAGACTTTTGGCCAATTTATTGGGTTTTTTTGACATGGGAAAGTCTTCATAAGTCATTTTGCTGTCATGTTAATTTTAAAACTTCCCAGAAGGGCATTACAGATAGAAATTGCAGTGTGAAAACCCTACCATGTCAAAAGATATGGACTCAGAATATATGTTAAAACAATTTTAGTTATTGCAATATTCAACCTTTTACTTCTGATCAACAGCACTGATTTGTCTTAGCTTTTCTGTTCTCGTTTTTTCTGCAACTAAAAACCTGGTTCTTCAAGGGGTTATGTTTTTCTTGTTGAATAATCATAACTTGTTTTAGATTCAAGTAAAGGTTTTTCTAAAATTAAATATACAAATGATATTACAATAAACGAATGTGCTCCCTTGCTACAAGAGGCACATGTTAACATCAACTACTGTAATACAGGTAGTCCTTATTTATCGATGGTAATTGGAACTGGGGATTCTGTCACTAAGCAATGTAGTCATAAGGCACGCCATCATGTGACCATGCCAACTTATGATGGCAGTTCCAGCAGTCCTAGTTGCCATAATTAGGCGACTTCTGTGCAGTCGCAGTGTTCTGCAATCACCATTTGTGGCCTCCTGCCAGCTTCCCCATTGATTTTGCTTGTGGGAAGGTAGCAGTGAAGGTCACAAATGTTGATCATGTGACTGCAGGATGCTGCGATGTTGTAATTGCGAGCTGGCTGCCGAGCACCCAAATCGTGATCATGTGACCGTGGGGATGCTGAGATGGCCACAACTACGAGGACCTGTGGTAAGTACCCCTCATTCAGCGGCATCATAATTTTGAACAGTCGGTGAATGAGTAGACATTAAATGAGGACTACCTGCACTGGCAGAGTAAGTTCGTCATTTGGTTATATTTATTTCCCTGATATACTAAGATGAATTACTTGCAGTCATATTGGACAAATAGTTCTAACAATTTTCATTCTATCTTTCTTTTCTCCTTCTCTAATTACCTGCAAGCAGTATTCACACTGATAAGGCTTCTCTCCACTATGAGTTCTCTTGTGTCTTTCCATGTGATATTTCTGTATGAACCTCATGCCACATTCATCACATCGAAATGGTTTCTCACCTAAGAATAAAAATGGAAAGCATTGCTAAATATATGAGAAATAATATCTATGTATATGTTTCCATGTTAATATTCAGTAATTTTTACTGTTAAATACAAATAAGATACCACCAAAAAACTTGACAAGAAGAAAATGCCATTATATTCTTCCAATACTGGAAGAAAACCAGTATTGAATACATTTATTTTCATTCAGGTGTCTCAGAACTAGATATGTACCTCAGAACTAGAAATGTAAAAAAAAGTATCAGACACATATTCTCTCCTAAATAGTTTTTGACACAAAGAGCTATGTGGAGGGAGAGGAGGGGGGAGAGTAATTCTTTATGACCTAGTGGTTTAAAAATAGTAAATGTCTGTACAAAACTGTTGCATTTAAAATTTCCAATTATTCTTTCTCAGTTTTGTAAAAAGATCAAGTAATCATACTGGCTTTGAATATATTGTAGTTACTTGTTAACTAATCAAATATCCCAATTCTACATTTAATTAGCCAATATGAAAAGAAAGTAAATTCCTGATTTACTCACTGGCTTCCTCAGCTTTCCTGGAGAAAATGCATAGAATCATTAATATAATTTTAGATTAATCAATGTTTTTCTCTGAACTTTCTTTAAACTACTCCTGAAGAAAAGGCGCAATTCCATGTCAAATCAAGAAAACATGGTCCTTGAGGGTTGTGTGAAAATCATGGGTTTTCTTGAAAATGTACACAGACATAATGTATACTGAATTATATCCATAGTTTTTAAACTCTTTTTTAAAATGTCCTTCTGGGATCTAAGTTTCAACCTATCAAATATATGCTAATGGTTATTTTTTTCCCATAAAACATGTCCTTTTTGCCCAAAAATGAGATGTGCACCATCTACAACAGATATTAAAGTCTGTTAATATCAATTCTTTAAACAGTGACAATTGTTCTGTATTTTCAAAACTACTCCAACAACTGAAAGCCAAACATTTAAGGGAAAAATTAGATTTTCACGAATTTCTTTTTGACTATCTGCTAATCTAATTCACCTGTATAGTGATCAGGTAGCACTATACATTTCTGATCTCCAGTTGTACTTTACTCTCTATTTTTCACAGAGATAGCAGCTCCCAATGGAATAAAAATTAATACTTGTATTTTTCTTCTAGTTGCAAGTTCTAATCTGAAATTGTAAAATACTGGAAATAACTTTATGTCTTCAAAATTATACTTTTATATTTATTGACATTAGGTCTAATTCTGCTTCTAGTAACTTAAAGTGCATAATAGCTGTAATATATAATAAACTGTAAAATAATTTACAATTCAAAATCATCATTGAAAATATGTCATAAGTCAGGCAAAGAGATTACTATTCAAAGCTAGTATCTCACTCAAGGCACAAGTTATCAGGCTCAAAATTATCCTACTTTGGACATATTATGTGAAGACCTACAGTGGGGCAAAAAAGTATTTAGTCAGCCACCAATTGTGCAAGTTCTCCCA